GACTCTTTACATATTTCTCTTTGAAAAGGTACTCGTTTGTGTGTTACTAATCATCCCATTGCTCATTTTGTTTCATATGATGCCTTGTCTCCTGTCTTCTCTTGTTTTACTTCCTAATTATCTATTATATCCATTCCTAATCAATTATAGGATGCATTATCTGATCCGCGTTGGCAAAAAGCTATAGAGGAGGAGATGGATGTCTTACATCATAATGGGACTTGGGATCTCATTCTTTTATCTTCTGATAAACGAACTGTTGGTTGTCGGTGGGTGTATACTGTTAAATTTTATCCGAATAATTCTATGGAGCGTCTCAAAGCCTAGCTTGTTGCAAAGTACTTTACTCAGACTTATGATGTTGATTATGAGGAGACTTTCTCTCCTATTGTCAAAATTTCACCTGTTCGTATTCTGATTTCTTCTGCTACTAATCTTGATTGGTCATTGTTTCAGTTAGATGTCAAGAATGTCTTCCTACATGGTGACTTGGTTGAAGAGGTATACATGGAGCAGTCACCTGGGTTTATTGCTCAGGGGGAATATGGTAAGAGTGTATATCGGTTGAAGAAATCTTTGTATGGTTTGAAGCAGTCACCGAGGGCATGATTTGGTAAGTTTTCAAACGCAGTTTTAGAGTTTGGTCTTCTTCGATGTCAGACAGATCATTCTGTGTTTCATAGACAGACAGATGCAGGATATGTTCTATTGGTAGTCTATTTAGATGATATTGTGCTTACTGANGTTTTAGAGTTTGGTCTTCTTCGATGTCAGACAGATCATTCTGTGTTTCATAGACAGACAGATGCAGGATATGTTCTATTGGTAGTCTATGTAGATGATATTGTGATTACTGGAAATGATTCTGAGGGGATTGCTAAGTTAAAAATATTCTTGCAAGATCAATTTCATACTAAGGATTTGAGAAAACTCAAGTATTTCTTGGGTATTTAGGTGACTCAATCTAAACAGAGTATTTGTTTATCCCAGAGGAAATATATACTTGACATGCTGGAGGAAGTAGGTTTGCTGGGTGGTAGACCTATTGATGTTCCTATGGATCCGAATCAGAAATTTTTGATGAATGATGGTGCACTGTTTGAAAATCCGAGTCGGTATCGCAGATTTGTTGGGAAGCTCAATCATCTCACTATTACTCGATCAGATATGTCATATGTAGTCAGTATAGTAAGTCAGTCCATGGGGTATCCTAGAGTACCACATTGGGAGACATNGGGAAGCTCAATCATCTCACTATTACTCGATCGGATATGTCATATGTAGTCAGTATAGTAAGTCAGTTCATGGGGTATCCTAGAGTACCATATTGGGAGACAGTTACTCATATTCTGTGATATCTCAAACGTGCTTCTGGACTTGGACTATTATATCAAGCTAATGGACATCTTAGAGTAGAAGGTTTCTAGGATGCTGATTGGGCTGACTCTCCTTCTGATCGGAGATCAACGACTAGTTATTGTACTTTTTTAGAAGGTAATGTTGTCTCGTAAAAAAGTAAGAAAAAATTCATGGTAGCAAGATCCAGTGCTGAGGCTGAGTATAAGACAATGACACATATGACAAGTGAGTTGACTTGACTACTACACTTCCTCTAGGAAATTGGGTTTTCAATTCAACTTCCTTTACAGTTGTTCTGTGACAACTAGACAACTATCCATATTGTTGCTAATCCAGTGTTTCACGAGAGAACCAAACATATTGAGATTGATTATCACTTTATTCGGGACAAGATAGTAGCTGGGAAGATTACAACTCTATTTGTGAAATCTGAAGATCAACTTGCAAATATATTTACCAAAGCATTGAGTCGTACACGTCTTACAGCAATTTGTTCCAAACTTGAATTATATAATATATATAGTCTAGCTTGAGGGGAGTGTTAAGAATATTAGGGTAGTGTGTGTAAATTGTTAATAGTAAGAGGGTGTATGTATAATTCTTATTATTGTGAGTTAACTATAAATACAAGTTATGTATGAGAGTTATGTTAAGTTTATGACCTCTCTCTGTTCTCTAATATTGTGTTAATCCTCTACACTTAACATAAGGAAACAAACCGTATGGTCAAAATATGTCGACTTTTGAACATGTGTGTCACATAGTTTGAAATCAAGAATTCTTTCACAATTTCATTACCGTGTTGCTAGCATCATATTTGTGAACACAGTGATCAAAGTTGGTGATTCTTGTTTCGGGCCAAATTTGAGAGTTTCAGCTTTAAAAAAAACAATTAAGGCCAACACTTTAAAAAAAACGAGAACATCCTAAAATGCTCTGATACAAATGTTAGAAATCGTATACATATTGCGGAAACATAGGATCAAAGACATACCTTGTTAGCTTTAATCTTAAAATCCGTTTGAAGATGTTCCACGTACTTTAGAATCTGAAAATCGTCTTTTATCCTATTGCTCGAGAAGTTGGTGTTGTTACACAATAGGAATCAACATCGAGTTTCCATAGCACAAAAACCTTTCAACGTTATGTAGGGAGATAGAGAGAGAGAGAGTATGAGACTTTAACGTTTGATTATTTATCAAAGATATCTCATCTATTGGATTGTCTTGTGTTTATATACGCAACCAATAGGTGTCATTAAGAGACATATCCTATAGGGACATGTCTGTTAATATTTAACAGACATGTATTTTAGGTGGTAAAGGATACCTCTTGATAAATGATACCTCCAAAAGACATGCCTCTTTGGGCACTCTTTAATTTGGGTCAACCCACCATGGGTGCCCGGTTCAGGTCCATGACCCAAACAATATCTAACACTTTTTGATATCTAAAATACAAAACCTTGTTAAAAATACTCTTAGGACTTTTTTGGATGAATTTTGGGGAGGGGTTTGGATCAGCTTCTCAAAACCCTTCCAAACTCAAATCCTTCTTTATAAAGATGGGATTCAACATTCAATCTAGTCTATACCCACGTTTGGTATGCAATACATACACATGTAGCACCTACGAATATATCATAATTATTAACAACTATTTGTCTAGTAAATAACTATTTTACCTTTGATCAATTCAATTCATACACATGTTAAAAGGTACAATTGTCTTTTGCATCCTTAACCCCTTACCCATCTTCCCAAACCCATCCCTCCACTAGGTTTGACGAAACCTAAGATCATGAATTCAATCTTTATGCTANTAGTAAATAACTATTTTACCTTTGATCAATTCAATTCATACACATGTTAAAAGGTACAATTGTCTTTTGCATCCTTAACCCCTTACCCATCTTCCCAAACCCATCCCTCCCCTAGGTTTGACGAAACCTAAGATCATGAATTTAATCTTTATGCTGGGTTTGAGAACCCAAAATTGAACTTTCAATCCAAACATAGGATTTGGGGATCATTTGAATTATTTTTTCCAAACCCATCTTATCAAACCCCCTCATACACCCTAACCAAAAAACCCCCTTAGTCGCACATTAGATACAATTTGGATAGATGGAGAGTGCACAGGTTCAATCCTATTATCTTTTTCCATTTTTCCTCTTTGAACCTAGACAAAATAGAAGTCAAAGCGCACTCTATTTTCGATATCTTTATTTGTGTGTCAAGACTCATTTTCCATGATGTGAACCCCAATTTCATAACTATACCCAAGTGAAAATAATTAGGACCACAAGTCAAGACCACAAAATAGAGTTGAATACAGATGCACAAATCAAATCAAATGTTGGAATTATTTTTTTATCAATCCATATTAGAAAAAGAAGCCACTCAAAATGTGAAACAAGAAGTTATAGTTATAGAAGGGCAAATTACAAATTGACCCTTTCAATCATGATTTTTTTTTTTTTTTTTCACATAGGCCCCTTAAGTAACATGTTTTTCACCCCTAAACCATAAAATTAGTTCATATTGCTTTAATTATTAACGTCTGTTAAAAATTTGAGGGAAAGTTATTTTATTTTCTCTCTAAACTATGTAATTTTTTCATTTTCCATGACATGTTACCAATTTCTGTCCAAAAAAATGGTGGACGTTTGCATTTCAGACAATATGTAATAATTTAAGTAGTTGAGAGGGTAATATAAAAATTTTAGTAGTTCAAAGAGTAAAAGGAAATCAAAAAAATATGATGCACTTAACTTCAACAACCTTAGCTTAAAAAAAGGCTTAATTATACTGGAAGTCCCCAAAGTATAGAGTTTGTCCTATTTTAGTCTCTAATGTTTTAATTGCATCATTTTGATCCCGAAAATATTAAATATGTTTCTAAATGGTCCTTCAAGCAAACAACATCCAAATTGTTAACAATTTTTTATCATAAACTTGTCACATAATTCTTAAATATAAAAAATAATAAAATTGGATAACTCTCGACCAATTTTTTATTCAAATTTTGGTTAAATAGCTAACTAAATTATATAGTTTTAATCATGAGCTATTCAAATTTGGATCAAAAACTACCCATATTATACATTTTTTTCTCAAGAGCTACTCTAATTTTGTTTAAGAGCTAACAGAATTATTTTTTGTCTATATTTAAGTATTACGTGACAAGTTTATGATAAAAAATCGTTAAAATCTACATATTATCTGCTTGAAGGATCATATAAAAATATATTTAATACTTTAAGAACCAAAATGATTCAATTGAAATATTGAAGACCAAAATAAGATAAATCACATTCTTTGGAAATTTCCCATGCAATTAATCCTAAAAAAAAACATAAAAAGTTCAAGGAAGAAAAAGTGGAGACCCATAAAAACCGGGAAGAGCCTAGCTTATGGCCTGGACTCATAAAAACACCAATAATCTAATAGGAATGATATTAAAACTTAAAAAAATTGAACTAATTGATTACTTAATGGTTGAAATGGTCTGAAAGCAATATTATAACTGGAATTGTTGGAGTTTTTTAATTGGATGATAACCTGACATATTATTATGTCAATAAATAAAGTTGAATTTTTATATATATCCAAAAGATATTACTACTAATCTAATCGGCAAACAACCAAAAAAATGCCAATCTCCAAAATTTGGGCACAAGATTTTCCAATCAAAATAGTGTGTAGAATAAGACCAAACAAGAGGTGGATTTGAAGACTGGTAATACTGCCTTGGCCAGAAGTTATTGCAATTATCGCCAATCAATTTACGGAACCAGTGGCCAGGGAAGACAGTACAGGAGAAGAAATGCTTGCCTGAAGCTCAGTGGTGACAGCGTACTCATCCATGTCGACGTAGTTCTTGTTGATAGGAGCCATCATGAGCTTATCACACTCTGGCTCCAGCCATGTGGTCAAAACGACGCCAAGTTCAGCCTGGGATTGCCATCAAGCATCAGCTCATCGTTGATGATCTGAGAAGCCGCCTCCTTGGGTATAGAGCTCCCCGGCATCTTGAACCTGTACCACATCAAACCTTTCATCATTCAATCTAGGCCATATAATTCTATAAAGCGAAAATTGAGAGCGAGTCGTACTTGCTTGGATATAAGTCCGGCAAGAAAATTTATAAGGGGTTAAGTCCATATTTAAAATTATATGTAATGACTTAAGTCCACTTTAATTTTTTTTTTTATCTCAAAAATATAATTCTTTGAAAGGAAATTAATTTTTTCTCTCTTATATTTATCTATATCCATATATAGGTTAAGAGTTTGACTAACATTAAAATTTTCACTCTCTCTTATTTATCTATATTCATATATAGGTTAGCTGTGTATATATATATATATAGTAACATTAAAAAAATAGTAATATTCAAATACAAAATAAAAATTACTATGAATTTGAATAGTAAAATTCAAATTCATGTTATTTTTTTTTTATTATGTTACTTCTTTTGTTGAGTATGTTACTGTTCATGTACTATTATTTTTGAGCATGTTACTGTTTTTGTTGACCATGTTACTATTATTATTTTCTTAAATATTAATATTTAATGTTACTTTTTTTTTGAATATTAATATTTTTTGTATTTAAATGACACTATTTTTTGTGTTTGAATTTGAGAGAAATAATTATTGTTAAATATGTTACAGTTTTTGCTAAGAATGTTACTATTTTATTGAACATGTTAATATTTTTGTTAAATATGTTAATGTTGTTATTTTTTAAAATTATTAATATTGAATATTTCAATTTTTTTAAAGTTTAAATGTTACTATTTTTTTGTATTTAAATGTATTATTTTTTGTGTCCAAATGATAATTTTTTTTGTGTTTGAATGTTATTATTTTTTATTTTTAATGTTACTACATATGTACATAGATAAATATGAGAGAGAAAATATTTTAATGTTAGTCAAACTCCTAAGATTTAAGAAAATTTTAGTTTTATTCCACTTCTAAAGGAAAGAGATAGTATAGTAAAATAGACAAAAAATAAATTTTATAGTAAATAAGTTTCCTTGACGGACTTAAATCTAAACAAGTCCATATAGGGGGACCGACCTCCAAATTTTCTTTCAATAAATGATCTATAAATTCGATTTGTATTCCTACGGAGTTTGGGTGCTAAAAAGTGATCCGGTTAGACTGTTGAAATAATGCATTCGACACAAGTCTGACTATAAATAATTACAAAAGGGTCGGGTATTTGGGTTGAACAAATTTTGCTATGGCATGATACAATTTATAAACCCAATCCGACACTAACACTAGAATTCCAAGTCTAACTTAATCACTCGTATACAATGCCTATTATATGTATATGTATGTACATAATGTTGGAACTTGATTTGAATATAATTAGAAATAAACATCAACTCGAAAAATTCTATAATACAGGTGTATGAAATATACACCATAAAAAGAGAAGAAGAACACATATATACTTCATTATTTGTCACCCACACAATAGAACATATATATAGGTGTATGGAATATATAACTCATTGTCCAAAATAATTGACCTATTNACTTGGACTATTATATCAAGCTAATGGACATCTTAGAGTAGAAGGTTTCTAGGATGCTGATTGGGCTGACTCTCCTTCTGATCGGAGATCAACGACTAGTTATTGTACTTTTTTAGAAGGTAATGTTGTCTCGTAAAAAAGTAAGAAAAAATTCATGGTAGCAAGATCCAGTGCTGAGGCTGAGTATAAGACAATGACACATATGACAAGTGAGTTGACTTGACTACTACACTTCCTCTAGGAAATTGGGTTTTCAATTCAACTTCCTTTACAGTTGTTCTGTGACAACTAGACAACTATCCATATTGTTGCTAATCCAGTGTTTCACGAGAGAACCAAACATATTGAGATTGATTATCACTTTATTCGGGACAAGATAGTAGCTGGGAAGATTACAACTCTATTTGTGAAATCTGAAGATCAGCTTGCAAATATATTTACCAAAGCATTGAGTCGTACACGTCTTACAGCAATTTGTTCCAAACTTGAATTATATAATATATATAGTCCAGCTTGAGGGGAGTGTTAAGAATATTAGGGTAGTGTGTGTAAATTGTTAATAGTAAGAGGGTGTATGTATAATTCTTATTATTGTGAGTTAACTATAAATACAAGTTATGTATGAGAGTTATGTTAAGTTTTTGACCTCTCTCTGTTCTCTAATATTGTGTTAATCATCTACACTTAACATAAGGAAACAAACCGTATGGTCAAAACATGTCAACTTTTGAACATGTGTGTCACATAGTTTGAAATCAAGAATTCTTTCACAATTTCATTACCGTGTTGCTAGCATCATATTTGTGAACACAGTGATCAAAGTTGGTGATTCTTGTTTCGGGCCAAATTTGAGAGTTTCAGCTTTAAAAAAAACAATTAAGGCCAACACTTTAAAAAAAACGAGAACATCCTAAAATGCTCTGATACAAATGTTAGAAATCGTATACATATTGCGGAAACATAAGATCAAAGACATACCTTGTTAGCTTTAATCTTAAAATCTGTTTGAAGATGTTCCACGTACTTTAGAATCTGAAAATCGTCTTTTATCCTATTGCTCGAGAAGTTGGTGTTGTTACACAATAGGAATCAACATCGAGTTTCCATAGCACAAAAACCTTTCAACGTTATGTAGGGAGATAGAGAGAGAGAGAGTATGAGACTTTAACGTTTGATTATTTATCAAAGATATCTCATCTATTGGATTGTCTTGTGTTTATATACGCAACCAATAGGTGTCATTAAGAGACATATCCTATAGGGACATGTCTGTTAATATTTAACAGACATGTATTTTAGGTGGTAAAGGATACCTCTTGATAAATGATACCTCCAAAAGACATGCCTCTTTGGGCACTCTTTAATTTGGGTCGACCCACCATGGGTGCCCGGTTCAGGTCCATGACCCAAACAATATCTAACACTTTTTGATATCTAAAATACAAAACCTTGTTAAAAATACTCTTAGGACTTTTTTGGATGAATTTTGGGGAGGGGTTTGGATCAGCTTCTCAAAACCCTTCCAAACTCAAATCCTTCTTTATAAAGATGGGATTCAACATTCAATCTAGTCTATACCCACGTTTGGTATGCAATACATACACATGTAGCACCTACGAATATATCATAATTATTAACAACAATTTGTCTAGTAAATAACTATTTTACCTTTGATCAATTCAATTCATACACATGTTAAAAGGTACAATTGTCTTTTGCATCCTTAACCCCTTACCCATCTTCCCAAACCCATCCCTCCACTAGGTTTGACGAAACCTAAGATCATGAATTCAATCTTTATGCTAGGTTTGAGAACCCAAAATTGAACTTTCAATCCAAACATAGGATTTGGGGATCATTTGAATTATTTTTTCCAAACCCATCTTATCAAACCCCCTCATACACCCTAACCAAAAAACCCCCTTAGTCGCACATTAGATACAATTTGGATAGATGGAGAGTGCACAGGTTCAATCCTATTATCTTTTTCCATTTTTCCTCTTTGAACCTAGACAAAATAGAAGTCAAAGCGCACTCTATTTTCGATATCTTTATTTGTGTGTCAAGACTCATTTTCCATGATGTGAACCCCAATTTCATAACTATACCCAAGTGAAAATAATTAGGACCACAAGTCAAGACCACAAAATAGAGTTGAATACAGATGCACAAATCAAATCAAATGTTGGAATTATTTTTTTATCAATCCATATTAGAAAAAGAAGCCACTCAAAATGTGAAACAAGAAGTTATAGTTATAGAAGGGCAAATTACAAATTGACCCTTTCAATCATGAATTTTTTTTTTCACATAGGCCCCTTAAGTAACATGTTTTTCACCCCTAAACCATAAAATTAGTTCATATTGCTTTAATTATTAACGTCTGTTAAAAATTTGAGGGAAAGTTATTTTATTTTCTCTCTAAACTATGTAATTTTTTCATTTTCCATGACATGTTACCAATTTCTGTCCAAAAAAATGGTGGACGTTTGCATTTCAGACAATATGTAATAATTTAAGTAGTTGAGAGGGTAATATAAAAATTTTAGTAGTTCAAAGAGTAAAAGGAAATCAAAAAAATATGATGCACTTAATTTCAACAACCTTAGCTTAAAAAAAGGCTTAATTATACTGGAAGTCCCCAAAGTATAGAGTTTGTCCTATTTTAGTCTCTAATGTTTTAATTGCATTATTTTGATCCCGAAAATATTAAACATGTTTCTAAATGGTCCTTCAAGCAAACAACATCCAAATTGTTAACAATTTTTTATCATAAACTTGTCACATAATTCTTAAATATAAAAAATAATAAAATTGGATAACTCTCGATCAAATTTTTATTCAAATTTTGGTTAAATAGCTAACTAAATTATATAGTTTTAATCATGAGCTATTCAAATTTGGATCAAAAACTACCCATATTATACATTTTTTTCTCAAGAGCTACTCTAATTTTGTTTAAGAGCTAACAGAATTATTTTTTGTCTATATTTAAGTATTACGTGACAAGTTTATGATAAAAAATCGTTAAAATCTACATATTATCTGCTTGAAGGATCATATAAAAATATATTTAATACTTTAAGAACCAAAATGATTCAATTGAAATATTGAAGACCAAAATAAGATAAATCACATTCTTTGGAAATTTCCCATGCAATTAATCCTAAAAAAAAACATAAAAAGTTCAAGGAAGAAAAAGTGGAGACCCATAAAAACCGGGAAGAGCCTAGCTTATGGCCTGGACTCATAGAAACACCAATAATCTAATAGGAATGATATTAAAACTTAAAAAAGTTGAACTAATTGATTACTTAATGGTTGAAATGGTCTGAAAGCAATATTAATTGGAATTGTTGGAGTTTTTTAATTGGATGATATCACCTGACATATTATTATGTCAATAAATAAAGTTGAATTTTTATATATATCCAAAAGATATTACTACTAATCTAATCGGCAAACAACCAAAAAAATGCCAATCTCCAAAATTTGGGCACAAGATTTTCCAATCAAAATAGTGTGTAGAATAAGACCAAACAAGAGGTGGATTTGAAGACTGGTAATACTGCCTTGGCCAGAAGTTATTGCAATTATCGCCAATCAATTTACGGAACCAGTGGCCAGGGAAGACAGTACAGGAGAAGAAATGCTTGCCTGAAGCTCAGTGGTGACAGCGTACTCATCCATATCGACGTAGTTCTTGTTGATAGGAGCCATCATGAGCTTATCACACTCTGGCTCCAGCCATGTGGTCAAAACGACGCCAAGTTCAGCCTGGGATTGCCATCAAGCATCAGCTCATCGTTGATGATCTGAGAAGCCGCCTCCTTGGGTATAGAGCTCCCCGGCATCTTGAACCTGTACCACATCAAACCTTTCATCATTCAATCTAGGCCATATAATTCTATAAAGCGAAAATTGAGAGCGAGTCGTACTTGCTTGGATATAAGTCCGGCAAGAAAATTTATAAGGGGTTAAGTCCATATTTAAAATTATATGTAATGACTTAAGTCCACTTTAATTTTTTTTTTTATCTCAAAAATATAATTCTTTGAAAGGAAATTAATTTTTTCTCTCTTATATTTATCTATATCCATATATAGGTTAAGAGTTTGACTAACATTAAAATTTTCACTCTCTCTTATTTATCTATATTCATATATAGGTTAGCTGTGTATATATATATATATAGTAACATTAAAAAAATAGTAATATTCAAATACAAAATAAAAATTACTATGAATTTGAATAGTAAAATTCAAATTCATGTTATTTTTTTTTTATTATGTTACTTCTTTTGTTGAGTATGTTACTGTTCATGTACTATTATTTTTGAGCATGTTACTGTTTTTGTTGACCATGTTACTATTATTATTTTCTTAAATATTAATATTTAATGTTACTTTTTTTTTGAATATTAATATTTTTTGTATTTAAATGACACTATTTTTTGTGTTTGAATTTGAGAGAAATAATTATTGTTAAATATGTTACAGTTTTTGCTAAGAATGTTACTATTTTATTGAACATGTTAATATTTTTGTTAAATATGTTAATGTTGTTATTTTTTAAAATTATTAATATTAAATATTTCAATTTTTTTAAAGTTTAAATGTTACTATTTTTTTGTATTTAAATGTATTATTTTTTGTGTCCAAATGATAATTTTTTTTGTGTTTGAATGTTATTATTTTTTATTTTTAATGTTACTACATATGTACATAGATAAATATGAGAGAGAAAATATTTTAATGTTAGTCAAACTCCTAAGATTTAAGAAAATTTTAGTTTTATTCCACTTCTAAAGGAAAGAGATAGTATAGTAAAATAGACAAAAAATAAATTTTATAGTAAATAAGTTTCCTTGACGGACTTAAATCTAAACAAGTCCATATAGGGGGACCGACCTCCAAATTTTCTTTCAATAAATGATCTATAAATTCGATTTGTATTCCTACGGAGTTTGGGTGCTAAAAAGTGATCCGGTTAGACTGTTGAAATAATGCATTCGACACAAGTCTGACTATAAATAATTACAAAAGGGTCGGGTATTTGGGTTGAACAAATTTTGCTATGGCATGATACAATTTATAAACCCAATCCGACACTAACACTAGAATTCCAAGTCTAACTTAATCACTCGTATACAATGCCTATTATATTTATATGTATGTACATAATGTTGGAACTTGATTTGAATATAATTAGAAATAAACATCAACTCGAAAAATTCTATAATATAGGTGTATGAAATATACACCATAAAAAGAGAAGAAGAACACATATATACTTCATTATTTGTCACCCACACAATAGAGCATATATATAGGTGTATGGAATATATAACTCATTGTCCAAAATAATTGACCTATTAACTCATCATAAAACTCAATTATTTTGATCTTCGTAATTTATTGACCAAATTCAATATAATGCTCACCACAATAATTCTCATAATGAATATAACATATATAACTTATGTACTACTAAATTTCACCATTATAATTCTCATTATATAGATTCTAGGTTAAACTTGTAACTCATGTGGCTTATAAAAATATAAATAAATTTGTATAATCAAGTCAAAATGAAGATACAAATAAAAGTGAAATTATTGCAATATAATTAGATAAATAATAAAAGCTACTTTATTTTTATTAAAATATTCCAACAATCCCCCACTAATTTTAATAAAAACAAAAGTAGCATATACTTGGGCAAAGATAGAACATCATGCATTGTAAAAGTGACAATGCATTTAAACCTTTACTTAGTGTTTAAATGTTCTCGTACTAGAGTCAAAGTGAACTTAGCCTTTAAACGATAACTACTTGAGAGCAGGTAGAACCATATCACACACATGACATTCAAGGTGTTCTAAACCAAGTTTCAAAAGCTAGCACATTTTAGCCTTATGATTTATCCCAGTTTCTTGAGTGCTCTAGAGAATTAGTCTCAATTTTCATAAGAAACGGTCCGTCTTCCACACTCATATAGGTCAGTCTATCAAGAATGCTCTTGTGACTAAGATGTTCCACCCATAAGGACTATAAAACTCATTAAGAGATTACAATCTATGTCAACCTCCACACTCGTCACAAGGTCACACACACTTACACCATAGGAATGGATAATGAGTCATTAAGACTTAGATAATGCATGTCCCAAAACAAGCCACTCTATGATTCGTTTGTCCCCTTAACCCAATTCTTGGGATCTCCAGTCCTTAGGTATGGTATCCTCATAGGCGACTTAATACATATTTGGGATTAAGTCTCATCCCCCTCAATGTATATCAGACATTTGCCTCTAGCTAGAGTTTAAACAATTTCACATAATAATATGTTTGATGGTGTATTTCAACGTGATACAATTTTGTGATGACGAGTAAATGAAAGAAACAATATTGGAATTATTGGGATCTGAGCTACTAGACTCGAGGGAATGATACTGAGAATTGTTGGGGAGTTGGGGAATTAACACAGTAGAAATATAGTAGTTCACCAACTCGGGAGTTTGGCTAATCCACTCTTCAATGGAGATTCTTACTTCTTCTTTCGCTATTTACTATACCAAAAGATTTACAGAATGTAAGATGTGATACTAGGGTTCTGTCCATCTGTTGGGGGCGTTACATAGTATTTATAGGGGTGACCCTTAATCTATGGGATTTGATCCGTGATCCACGCCATCTATCCGAGGAATTCTCCTTAATCTTAGGAGAGTATCTTGATTGGTTGAGGATTTTGTGCCTTGAGTGTTACTTCAAACCGCATGTCGAGTTTTTTGTAGTATCTAGTTGCTTCCTCATTGCTTCAGCTTGTTATCTCGCTTCAAGGGAGTTCTAGCTCTGGTTTTCTGAGCTCTGCATAGCTCTGACTTTTTGAGCTCAGCATACCTGACCTCCATGTTTGACCTCCGTTCCCGAACTCCTGCTCGGGATTCATTCTGAGTATCACCAGTTGCCTCCCAGCTCTTGGCCAAGCTGGCTTGGGCAAGGGCTGAACTTAGGATGTAACAGTAATGGCTTCCCAATCAGCGACTTCAAAATTTACGCGGGAATATATTTATTATTATTATTATATTTATTATTTTTTATTTTTAAAACGGTTGTCAGTAATCGTTTCCTTCCTCGTTCCTTATGCACGTCGCTCGTTTCGAGGCCCACGGTACTGTTAGCTTTAAATACCCCTGGATCACCAATTTACTCCTCACTATACAGCTCCTTTTCGGCTTCCTTATCCTTTCACGACTTCATCATCCCCATTCTGCCACTGGTTTTAGGGTTTTCTCTGAGAGACGGTTTCCCCAATTTTGACTTAGAGGCTTAGCGTGATTTGGTTTCGAATCCCCNAATCATTTCCTTCCTTGTTCCTTGCGCACGTTGCCCATTTCGAGGCCCACAGTACCAATAGCTTTAAATACCCCTGGATCACCGATTTGCTCTTCACTTTACAGATCCTTTTCAGCTTTCTTATCCTCTCACGACTTCATCTTCCCCATTCTATCGCTGGTTTTAAAGTTTTTTCTAAGGGACGGTTTCTCCAATTTTGACTTGGAGGCTTAACGTGATTTGGTTTCAAATTCCCTCCTCGAGTTTAATCCGTCACTAATTCACGGTTAGGTACGTTTTTCTTTCTTTTTTTTTCGCTCCTTGCCCTGGATCCCTCAAGTCTGAGGTGATTTTAACATTTTTGGGTCTTTCGATTCTGCTACTCTAGGAGCCGAAGTATTCTCCTGTCGTCTTCCTCTCTTCTTGGACCCTTACTCCACAGTTAGGATTTTCACCATTGATTTTCGGAGTCTTGCTCCATGGGCTCTCAAAGAGTGTTTCTCCGAGGTTCTCCCTCTTTATAGGTCTTTTAAGCTTCCTTATTTTTGTCCAACTATGTCTGCTTCCTCTAAAGCCACGGGATCGTCTGTTTCGCTAATGAAAGATGGGTCCGTTGAAGAAGATTCTGACTTGGGGGATGTGGGGTTAGAGATAGATGATTTCCCTAGAGTGGATTCTGTCAACGTCGAGAGAGGCACTAAAGAACCTCCTCCTGCCTTGAAATCTCCCTGTAAAGGCAAAACCAAAGTAAGTGGTGTGGAGATTTCAGGCAGTGCTGNTTTCGCTAATGAAAGATGGGTTCGTTGAGGAAGATTCCGACCTGGGGGATGTGGGGTTAGAGATAGATGATTTTCCCGGAGTGGATTTTATCAATGTCGAGAGAGGCACTGAGAAGCCTCCTCCTACCTTGAAATTCCTTCTTACACGAAGGTGCTGGCTGCCCGCTTTGGGTTTCCTCAAGGCCTCCAATTCTGGAGTCCGGATATGTTTACCTTATACAATTCCTTTATCCCTAAAAAAGTGTGCTTCTTCCTGGCTGCTTTTGAGAACGGCCTGCGCTTTCCCTTGCATCCCTTCATCAAAAAATTTTTGCAACATTTCAATGTTNGCGCTTTCCCTTGTATCCCTTCATCAAAAATATTTTGCAACATTTCAATGTTTGCCCTGCCCAACTTTCTCCTAACTTTTGGGGGGTGCTGGTTGGTCTTCTTGTCTTCTTTAAGAAACATGATCTAGGTGTCCCCACCATGTCTTTGGTCATGAAATTCTTCAATGTCAAATATCTCCCCACTGATGGCTTTTTGTACATCTCTAAACGAGTGAAATCCAAGGTTCTTATCTTTGATCTCCCGAGCTCCCACAAACGTTGGAAAAAATTATTCTTTTT